TAGAATTAGAACTTTGGCACCCACTATTCAATTATATATAAGGAGAGATTCCTTCCCTGAAAGACCCCATAGCCTCTCCCCTTTCTGTACTTCCTCCTCTCCTTCTCACCTATAAGCCAACCTGTGTTTATCTCCCCGCCCCCAATTCAGCTATCGTTCCTTCCCTCCCCCAGCAGCCTTTACCTGGGAAAACCAAGGCCCAGGTGGATGGTGTTGGCTTCCAGACCATGCCCAGCTGAGTGTTGGGGAACCCACAGGACTTGTGGGGAGGGGGTTACCTCATTTTCTTCCTTTATACCCTACCCTTTTCACAAGGCGTAATTTGGACCCCGTTCATCCAATCCTCACCCAACTTGGAAGGCAGGTAGAGGACAGTCAGCCAGGGATCCCTGGTGAGTTTGGTGTCTCTTGCTTGCACAGGATCCATTCGATACACTCCTGAACCGACTGAACCTGCGCCTGTCAAAACGACTGCCTGTCATTGACAGGCAGTCATTTTGACAGGCGCAGGTTCAGGAGTGTAAAGAACAGATCCTGGAGACAAAGGGGGGGCGGGAAACAACTCAAAAAGAATTCAGAACCAAAAGGTTAAGGAAATCAGGACACAGGGGCCCAATTTTTGTTGTTGTTGTTCAGTCGCACAGTCGAGTCCGACTCTTCGCAACCCCATGGACCAGATCACGCCAGGCCCTCCTATCTTCCGCCGTCCTCTGAAGTTTGCTCAGTTTCATGTTCGTTGCATCGATGACACTGTCCAACCATCTCATCCTTTGCCGTCCCCGTCTTCTTTGACCTTCAATCTTTCCCAGCATCAGGGTCTTCTCCATTGAGGGCTCCCTTCTCATTGGGCGGCCAAAGTATTTGAGCTTCAGTTTCATTATCTGGCCTTCCAGGGAACAGTCAGGGTTGATTTCTTTTAGGATGGACTGATTTGATCTCCTTGCAGTCCAAGGGACTCTCAAGAGTCTTCTCCAGCACCACAGTTCAAAAGAATCTATTCTTCGGCGCTCGGCCTTCCTTATAGTCCAACTCTCGCAGCCATACATGACTACTGGGAATAGCATTGCTTTGACCATGCAGACTTTTGTTGGCAGGGTGATGTCTCTACTTTTTATCATGCTGTTTTAAATTCAATAAAACCAAAAATAGGCCCAAGGAATAGCCTCGATTCAGAATGAAATTTTTGTATAGTTGGTAATATTTATGTTAAGTTTATACAGAGAACTACTGGGCCCTTATAATTCTGATTTCCTTAACCTTTTGGTTCTTAATTTAGAACAGATCCTGTGCAAGCTAGAGACATCAAACACACAGATGGCCCCCCCCCCAATGATCCTCTACATAATACTCTCCAAGTTCTGCCCCCCCATTGCTTTGAAGTAAACATTTAGATTGAGCGCAGACAGTTGGTCTGGAAATCTATCTGTTCACAAATCGCTAGGAACAGCTGGAAAGTTTGTGAAAAGTTTGTGCCAGCTGACCTGCCACGAACTTTACTTCACAAACCCTAAACTGGCCAAAATTCATCACGAACTTTCATCTGTGAGCCGGTTCGTGCCCATCCATATTCATTAGGTACTGCAGTCACTGCTATTTAGGACTGAAAATGTCCATATTTCAGAAATAACATTTATTTCATGGACGTGATCAGTCCAAGCAGAGCAGCGCTAAAATTTGGGCTGGTTTTTGTGTGTGTGTGTGATACTACTTTCCTCTTCATGGTGTGCATTTTGGCATCACTGGCCTTTTACTGCCCTCTAGTGTCCAGAAAGTTACAAAACCCCTAGTACTTCAAGAATTTGCAGGTAACTGTGTCGGCCCACGGAATCAATCCAAAAGCAAGTTGGATAATGAGTTGGACCTTGCAGATCTGACTCTCTAGAGCATATTAGCTTTCCTCTGGGGTAAAAAGCCTCCTCGTAATACTAGAAGCTCCTGTACACTTAGATGTGAATTTTACACAGTAATTGTATATGCGATGGGTTGGATCCTCTCCCGGCCCCCGTTGGGCACCGTGGCAGGGCAACCCCACGCTGGAGAACGGGATGGAGCAGCCCCCCTCCTCGACAAGCCTGGCACTCACCGGGAGAAGGGGGAGTGGAGAAGGAGGCGTGGCGAACCCCGGTGGGACGATGGCAGGCTGGCTGGAAAAGGCCACGCCTGCAAGGAGCGGAGGCCCCAACCTGGGCAGGCAGGGCAGAGCCTCCCGATGGCACTTGAGCGGCGGCTGGGGATGCGCTCGAGCCCGACCGTGGCCTGAGCAGTGAAAGCTCAGCGTGATGGCAGGCGCAGGAGGCAGCGCTGGGTGGCGAGCCGGCGGGGAGGATGCTGGCGGCCACAGGAGCTGTTCCCGGGGCAAGGCAGGAGGCCTCCTGGAAGGGGCGGAGCCACACAAGGCCGGGCTCCCGTCTTCCCTCTTGAAGGGAGGCGGGGCCAGAGGCCAGGGCAGTTCGGGAGGACGGGAGGAGCATAAAAGGGGCTGGGAGGGCCAAGGAGGAGGACGGCAGCCGTGAATAAAGGGAGGGGGGACTGGCTGTTCCGGAAGGGGGAAAGAAGGGTGAAGTAACCCATCCAAGCGTCCCCCTTGTGCTGAGGACCACTGGTATCCCACCCTCTGGAGTTTCCGTCCTTCCTCCCGAGCCGATACCCCCCAGGACTATAGGGCTGGCTAACACAGGCCTCATCTCCCTCCTACCCACTCCAGCCGTGAGGGCTGGCAGAGGGGCACGACTGTGGCAACGGCGACCAGAGGGCATCCCGTGGTGGCCGCCAGAAAGCGTGACAGATCCCAATGGAAAATTTCTGCTAATGGAAGGGAAAGGGATTTCTGTTGATTCACCATCCCCTGTACAGACCTTCGTCTCATGATGCTTCGGGGGGGGGGGGAATGTCCTGTTTAATTTCAGGAGTTGATGGGAAATGCTCTTAAAAGCGCCATCTTCTTGCTTCCTCTTACTCTTAATTGAAAGGTTTTTTTTTTAATTTCAGAACTCAGATCTTTCCTTGTAAAGAGCAATAACGTTTAGGCATTCGATAAAGATTTAAGGAGCAGATATTTGCAGTGGTTAGGGCGTGAGGTGCCAATCACACGGCTATCCTGCAGCGCGGCAAAGAAGCGGCGCAGCGCGATCACACCAGCAATCGCCAGGTGCCGCTTCCGTGGTAAAAGGGAATATTTTTTCCTCACCAAAAGGTGAGTATGCACATGATCGTTTGTGCGCATCCTGTGCAGACTTAGAAAAAAAAACCAAACAGGTTTGCAATGGGACTAGGACGGGACGCGATCAGACGCCCGCCCTTGCCCTGCGTTTTCCGGAAACTAGTACATCGTAACTACTAGCTTTTTACTCCGCATCTTCGGCATGAAGCCACGGGTTAGCCACTGGGTGCACTACACTTCCCAGATGTTGTGGTGTGATCGCACCCGGAAAATCCGCCCCTCATCCGTATCTTTAGCGCGGCAAATGCTCCGTGTGAACGGGGCCTATGTTTAGGTACGTTTATGTCTGTTGTGTGTGTTTAAAATAAAGAAAAATATTACTAGGTATCCATACCAGCAAAACACAATAATCAACCCTTCAGCCAGAATAGCTTGACAGGAAAAGGGAGAAGGAAGAATTTACAGGCACCCAGCCTGGGAAGGGGCTGTGGCTGAGTCCATCTGCTCGTCATGCAGAATGTCCCAGGTTCAATCCCCGGCATCTCCAGTTAAAGGATCAGATAGGAGATGATGTGAAAGGCCTCTGCTTGAAACCCCGGAGAGCTGCTGCCAGTCTGGGTAGACAAGACTGACACTGATGGACCAAAGGTCTGGTTCGATACATGGCAGTTTCATTCACTTTCCAAATTAATGGGATTTCCACCCTTGGGCATTTTATAGCACGGCATCCAGAAATGGGAAGATCTGTTCTTTCAAAGGGCGGAAAATTCAGGACAAGATCTGTGGCATACCAGCTTCCACACTTTGTCGTGCAAGAGAAATTACAGGGCTACGCGCAGTATAGATGAGGCAGAAAGGATGCACGAGAACTTGACTTTGCTTTGGACTGAGACCAGCGGAATGCTACTTAGGACTCAAGTGGGTAGCCACATTGGCACCTTTTGAGTTTGAGTCCACCAGCACCTTTAAGACCAACTATGGCCCCTGCCACATGACAGGGAAAAGACGGGGCGAAGTGCGGCTTTTAAAAGCCGCGCCAAAAAAGAAACGCCCCGGCGGGATCCCACGGATCCCGGTTGCTGCGCTCCGTTGCTCCCCGGCACGATCAGATGCTGGAGAGGATGACACTAGTTGGAGGGGGAGGCTGCCGTACTGCGCATGCTCGAGCATGCGCAGAGCGGCGGGGGGGCGGGGATGCGACGGCGGCAAGATGCGCCGCCGATCCCACGGCCAGGATGAAGCACCTCAACCGGATGAACCACCGAAGTAGGTGGTTCATCTTTGACGCGCTTCATCGGCGGAAGGGCCGGGTTGGAGGCGGGAGCGCGACGCCAGGTAGATGTTGCCGTGGGATCGCGCCCGTCTGATGCGCCTCCAATCCGGCCTGCTCCCGGCCCAAACTGCCTCGTATGAACGGGGCCAAAGTTGTTTGTTTGTTTTTAAATCCCCGGAGGGATCTTTTTTATTTTTGCAAAACTACAAAGACTACAAAGAAATAAAAGGGAAGGGACTACATCTAAGGAGAAAGAAAAGCAAACCACACTAATCTAAAACCCCAAGAGGAGGAGATCTCTTCACTGTTAGTTAAAATGTTAGTATTATTAGAGTTAATGTCACAATATACTTGTAGAGTTCTTGCTTATAACCAACCAACAAAGTTTTCTTTGGGATATAAACTTTCGTGCACAAGCACACCTCTTCCACGAAAGCTTATACCCAGAATAAGACTTTGTTGGTCTTAAAGGTGCCGCTGGGCTCAACCTTTGTTCTGCGGCTTAGGACTCTTATCGCAAAGGTCACAAACTAGCCTACGCAAAGGGGGAGGGATGTTTAAGCTTACCATTGCAGGGAGCAAGCCTGCAAACCCGTACAGCTTCCGGCTTCTCTCCATCACACTGCTCACCGGCGCGGCATAACACCTGCCTGGATTCGGTCCCTTCACCGCAGGTCACGGAACACTGCAGAGGAAAACAAGAAGACGCGCTGCTGGAGAATCCAAAAGGAGCAAGTGGCGGTCTGAGCCCTTGATCTGCATGGCCTCGAATGCCGAATGGGACTTCTGAACAAATTGGCTTCCTCCATCTAGGCCCGGGGTGGCCAAACTGTGGCTCGGGAGCCGCCTGTGGCTCTTTCACACATATAGTGCGGCAGGGCTCTTTTCGTAGAAAAAGCCCAGCAGGAACTCATTAGCATATTAGGCCACACCTCTGACAGCACAACTCATTGGCATATTAGGCCACACCCCCGTGGCACCAGAAGTGTGCTCATCCAGCCACATCCACCTTTTGCTTCTTATTCGGTTTACCTTGTTTGTTCCAGGGCTCTTTTTGTAGCAGGAACTCCTTTGCATGTTAGGCCACACACCCCTAATGTAGCCAATCCTAATGAGTTTCTGTTGTTGGGTGTGGCCTATTATGCTAATGAGTTCCTGATGGGCGTGGCCAACTTGGGAGCCAGCCGGAACTCCGTTCCTGTGTGTTCCTGCCCCAAAATAGCCCTGTTGTGTGGCTCCCGGCAGGCTCCCCTTCCTTCCTTCCTTCCTTCCTTCCTTCCTTCCTTCCTTCCTTCCTTCCTTCCTTCCTTCCTTCCCCCATCTACTTGCTCTCTTTGTTTCTCTCTCTCTCTTTACACCTCTCTCTTTCTCTGTTAGACAAATAGAGCCACAGAGGAACGCGGTGACGTGGAGCCAGAAATGGACGATGGCCGGGCTGTAGCTGACACAGGCCGCGCACCGAAGAGACCGCCAAAGCTGGAGGACCTGCCCTGCCCCTGGACACCGGAGATGGACGCCGACCCTAACCGCTCAGAGACCCTGTGGGGTCAGAGCGGTAAATAAATAAAATGTATAAATAAATAAAATAAATAAATATCAGTAGCAAGCAAGTAAATATCATTGGACAAATAACTATCATTATCAATATCTGTTTTTACTCCCTTTTGTTTTTATTTTGGGCAGTCTCATTTAAAGTTAATAAAAACCAAATCTGCGTATTTTTCAATTAAAAACATGTGTGTGATATTTGTTCATGTCTGCGGCTCTCAAACATCTCAAACATATGTACAGTAGGAGCGGCATCTTACCAGCTGCGCCCCGTGTGGACTCAGACTCGGCGTGGTGTGACCTAGTGCAGTGGCACCACTGAACAAGTCTCAAATTGCCCTTTACTGTTTTGAATCACCATCGATATTAACCACTCTTTACTGTTTTGTAGTGCCACCGATTTTAATGGATATACCTGTCATTTAATATGATGTATTTTGTTTTATTAGTTTTATGGGCGCTGCCCTGAGCCCGCCTTGGCGGGGAGGGCGGGGTAAAAGTCAAATCAATTGATCAATCAATCAATCAATCAATATGTGGCTCTTCTGTTAAGCAAGTTTGGCCACCCCTGATCTAAATTAATGGAAGGTAGGGGAAACATGCATCCAACCATGTACCTTTGAAGACGCTGGGACACTTAAGTGAGAAGAAGAAGAAGAAGAAGAAGAAGAAGAAGAAGAAGAAGAAGAAGAAGAAGAAGAAGAAGAAGAAGAAGAAGAAGAGGAGGAGGAGGAGGAGGAGGAGGAGGAGGAGGAGGAGGAAGAGGAGGACTCCCGCCCCTGGTGTCGGCCCCACGGGGTCGTGATGGGCTGCAGCCCCCCGGAGCTGGTGTGCCAGAAGGTCTACCAGGTCTCCATCTTCTCCCAGCTGGCCGGCTGCTCCCACCCGCCGGAGCAGAGGGCCCCCGGTCGGCAGCCCTTCAAGCGGGCCTGCCCGGAGCCCCAGCGGAGGGGGGGGACGCGGAGGGGGGCCGAGGGCGAGTGGGACGCCAAGCGAGGCCGCTGGGAAGGGGGGGAGGAGGAGGAGGAGATATTGGATTAATACCCCGCTCTTCACTACCCGAAGGAGTCTCAGAGCGGCTTACAATGAACCCCACCCCCCGAAAACACACTGCCAGTTCAAAAATGGGAAATCGAAAGTTGAAGATTCAGTGCTTACCGGACTCCAGGGCCAGGTTTTCCACTGGGCAGGGCACGGGGATCGGTTGCACGGCCGACGGCTCTCTGGCCGATCCCCTCTACAGTACTTGAAATGGACGGAGCGGTTCCCGCCATCGTGGAGCAGCTGGATGCAACGGACTGTTCGGATCTGATAACCGGAGGTCCCGCAGGTTTTGGTGCAGTGCTCCCACTCTTCCGATACCCAGCTGGGCGAGGGGGGAGGGAAAGGACAGCTGTGGAACTTTCAGGCAACATTAATTCATGCCAGAAACCCCGGCGCTAAAGATTGATTTCACCCAAGTGCACACGGATATTTCATGATGCGCGGACGGCGTTTCCCAGATGGAAAACGTCTGCCAACGGAACAGAAAATGGGAAATTTTTAATAATTTACAGCGAATGATTAAAAAAATGTGACAGAACAACAGAGACGAGTTCGTAGCAGAGACACAAGCTGGTTTTATCGGGAGAAAACGTGGCCCTGGAGGCTGGAGCTGGGTGGGGTGTTGAATTCTGGAAGTTATCCTACGTGCAGGTGGATCACGAATCTATCGCTCACATTGACTGCTGGCTCCTGCTCAAATTATTTAGCATGCACGGCAAGATGAGCAGTAGGCTTAGAACAGAGAAAAGGAAGTACTTCTTCACCCAAAGAGTGATTAACATGTGGAATTCACTGTCACAGGAAGTGGTAACGGCTACTGGCATAGACAGCTTCAAGAGGGGATTGGATAAACATATGGAGCAGAAGTCCATCAGTGGCTATTAGCCAAAACGTATAGATGGAACACTCGGTCCGGGGCAAGTGATGTTCTGTATTCTTGGTGCTTGGGGGGCCACGATGGAAAGGTGGTCTCCGGAATGTGATGCCATTTCAACATCTTGGTCAGAAGAAGCCGCTTGTCGAAACGGCGTCACATTCCGGAGACCACCGTCCCACCGTTATTGTTATCTTCTATCTTATGTAACTGGATTTACAGTTTGAATGTATCAGTATCACTTTTGTAATTTTCATATTTATAACATTATTGCTATCATTGTAGAAACATTGAGCGCACTTTACACAGTTCCTGTGGCTCTATCTTTTCATGTCCACAGTGCCTCTTACAGACCGATGCCTTGGGATGTTGCAGCCCTTTCTCCAAGGTCTGCATCAACTGAGTCAGGTTGCCTTCCACTTTGACCTTAGCTGACCCCACGAGGTGCTGTTTTTGAACACCCATGCAGCTAGCACCCGTGCGCTGTTGAACATTTGCAAATGCTTACAATGGCTGCGTGCATTCCTGAAGGTTGCACATCCTGCGGATGGGCTTGGGCTTTTTGCTGGCTTCACAGAAGCTACGGTGGACCATTTTGCTGTCGCTCTTCCTGCGGCACCCGTACTTGGTGTACTGGAAACCTGGAGAGAACCATCAGTGGCATTTGGGGAGAAAACAAAATGTACCGTTAAAAATGGGATGGCTCAAAAAGAGTAAGCACAGTGAGCATGTTTCACATTGATGACTCTCTATGATGGGGAGCAGAAAGTCCTCCTTGGAATACTGGTAGCCATGGAGAGGCACTTTTGGTCAGTCCTTAGATCTGATCATGTATACACAGCCTTTACACCAAGAGACCTTTGGTCTATCTGGACCACTCTAGTCTGGACTCCAAGACTTTGGGTAGGGGTCTCTCCCAGGCGTATCATCTGAGGAGCCTCTTTCTTTTTAGCTCCTTTCCGCACTTGGATCTCACCCCTGGGTTTATCAGAGTTCAACTCACGACACAATACCTTGCATTCATCCCTGGTTATAACAACATCCATTTATCCTGGGACAAGTGGGGCAAAACTGGGGTGACCTCAATGTAATGTGGAAACAAAAAATACTCCGAGATAATTACAGGGGTGAACTCACATGTGGTATGGAATGTAAGTTCGGGAACAGGATTGAACCAGGATTTAAGGTCTAGTGCGGAAAGGACCTTAGTCATCGGTACATCAGGATTGAACCTGGAATCTTTTGCAAGCAATTCCACAGCACTACTACTAAGCTACAACTTCCAGTTATTCCACCTACATCCCGATGTTCTTTAATCCAGATGCGACACTGGTTGTCTCTTAACCAGGGTTAAGAACGCTGGAGGTAGACATGTGGGTTGCGCACCCCTCCCCACTCAATTACCACTCATAGGCCCCTTTCTCTTAACCTTTCCCCTGCTGACCTTGACCATGGTAAATTTGGCATCGGATTGGCGTAGGCGGTAACCATGGTTAAACGTCAACCAAGGTTACCTCTTAAACAGGATTTTGAGTTGAGTTTGAAGCTTCTCTGGAAACCTGTTGGACATTAATGTTGTTTTTAAGAAAGAGCCAGCATGCATTCGCTTTAGAAATGAAACCAGAGATACGTACCTGGAGTGATGTGGGGTTTAAATCACACGTTCAAGCTGTATACATGTTGAACCTAACATGATCATTACTCAACACATGTATAAAGAAATTTGCAAAGAGGGCTTTTCTAACTTTACCAATAGAAACAGAGAAACACAAAGAGTGTGTGTGTGCGTGCTAAATGCAGTCAAGTCACTTCCGGCTTATGGTGACCTTATGGATTAATGGTCTCCCATACGTCCTATTGTGGCACTGCTGAGAGAATAATTATTTAATTTCCATCATTTGATTTGAGTTTTGATATTTGTTGTTGTTGTTCAGTCGCACAGTCGAGACCGACTCTTCGCAATCCCATGGACCATGTCACGCCAGGCCCTCCTGTCCTCCTGGCCTAGTGGTTTCCCCAGGTTTCTTCAGTTAAAGCCTGAATTTTGCAATGAGTAGCTCATGACCTGAGCCACAGTCAGCTCCAGGTCTGTTTTTTTAAAATTGACTGTATAGAGCTTCTCCATCTTTGACTACAAATGACACAATCAGTCTGATTTCGGTGTTGCCCATCTGGTGATGTCCCTGGGTAAAGCCGCCTCTTAGGGTGTTGGAAGAGGGTGTTCGCTATGACCAGCGTGTTCTCTTGACAAAACTCTGTTAGCCTTTGCCCGGCTTCATTTTGTTCTCCAAGGCCAAACTTGTCCGTTATTCCAGTTACCTTTTGACTTCCTACTCTAGCGTTCCAGTTATAAGTTTCAATATTAGAGATCGATAAGTGTTTGATACGCTTTAAGTTGGAGTACGTATTAAGCCTGTGCTGACAGACAAGGAGTAAACATTCTTTCCTTATCTAATTCTTTGGCTGGAATAGCGGTCTGGCTGTCTGAATGAACTTTGGATGCATCACTAATGAGATAAGGGAGGATGGGTTCGGAGAGGAATGTGTTTGCTTAGTCTTACTTCTAGTGTAAGGTCCATGTGCTTTAACTATGTTTTGATACAAGGTTCCAAACAGTCTGGGTAGAGGGGTGACTCTTACTTCTTGCTTGGGTATGAAGAAGAAGAAGAGAAGAAGAAGAGATTGGATTTATACCCCGCCCTTCACTACCCGAAGGAGCCTCAGAGCGGCTTACAAACTCCTTTCCCTTCCCCTCCCCTCCCCACCACAGACACCCTGTGAGGTAGAAGAAGAAGAAGAAGAGATTGGATTCATACCCCACCCTTCACTACCCGAAGGAGCCTCAGAGCGGCTTCCAAACTCCTTTCCCTTCCCCTCCCCACAACAGACACCCTATGAGGTAGGTGGGGCTGAGAGAGCTCTTTCCAGAACTGCCCTTTTTCAAGAACAGCTGTGCCAGAACTACGGCTTGCCCAAGGTCATCCAGCAGCTGCAAGCGAAGGAGTGGGGAATCAAACCTGGTTCTCCCAGATTAGAGTCCACACACTTAACCACTACACCAAACTGGTTCTTGGTTAAAGCCAAATAAGGTCTCTTTGTTCTGTGTCAAGCAAACAATTCAGGTACAATGTAGCCGCACCCCTTTTTGAAACTGACCAATGAATGTCTGTCCAGTGACTCCAGTGTTCTCTTAAGGGGACCAAAGCATGATAGCTTCAGTTGGTATTTTTATCGTCTATGGAGAGTTCAGACTTACACCAAACCCTCTGTGTGTGAGTGCATGCACATGCATGCCTGAACGCACACGCACACCCACAAACAGAGTCACAACAACCTTGTCGTAAGGCTTGCCCAGCACACACCCACATTATGACTTGCCTCCTCCACAAGGCTTGGAGCACGGGGACCACGTCTTCAAAGCCCACTCGAAAGTGTCCAGCTCCTCCTGCAGGACGTTGTTGCTATTGACGTTGGGCACGGAGTCCTCGTGGATGATGTACTTGTAAGTCAGGCTGGACTGCGTGTCGTTGTCCTGAGGGATGATCTGAAGAAGGAGAAGCAGAAAAGTTGATGCTGCTACAGAAAAACAGGCAGGTACGTTTCCTGATGGGAAGAGCGCAGGGCCAGAAGAAGGAGGAGGAGGAGGAGGAGAAAGAATTGGCTTTTATACTCTGCTTTTAACTTCCCTCCTTCTCTTCACAAGAGACACCTTGTGAGGTAGGTGGGACTGAGAGGGTTCTGAGAGAACTGTGATTGGCCCAAGGTCACCCCCCTGGCTTCATGTGGAGGAGGAGGAGGAGGAGGAGAAGAAGAAGAAGAAGAAAGAATTGGTTTTTATTCTCTACTTTTGACTTCCCTTCTTCTCTTCACAAGAGACACCTTGTGAGGTAGGTGGGACTGAGAGGGCTCTGAGAGAACTGTGATTGGCCCAAGGTCACCCCCCTGGCTTCATGTGGAGGAGGAGGAGAAGAAGAAGAAAGAATTGGTTTTTATTCTCTACTTTTGACTTCCCTTCTTCTCTTCACAAGAGACACCTTGTGAGGTAGGTGGGACTGAGAGGGCTCTGAGAGAACTGTGATTGGCCCAAGGTCACCCACCTGGCTTCATGTGGAGGAGGAGGAAGAAGAAGTGTTGGATTTATACCCCATCCTTCACTTGAAATCTCAGAGCGGCTTACAATCTCCTCCCCTTCCCCTTCCCCTCCCCACAACAGACACCCTGTGAGGTAGGTGGGGCTGAGAGAGTTCTGAGACAACTGCTCTTGAGAGAACAGCTCTGAGAGGGCTGTGACTGAAACGAGGTCACCCAGCTGGCTGCCCGCGAAGGAGTGGGGAATCAAACCCGGTTCTCCAGATTAGAGTCCGCCGCTCCTAACCACTACATCAAACTGACTGAATGAAAGATGGAGGAAGGGAGAACCATAAGAAAATAAGAACATACGAAAATAAGCCCTCCTGGATCAGAGCAGGAGAATCTCCCCAAACAGTGAAGGCCTCGAGACTTACCAGGACAACAACTGCATCCTGCAGGGGGCCATCGGTGTGAAGCGTTTCCATGTCGTCTTCTGCGTGGTACTCCCATTCGATGCCCATGTCGATGAAGGTGCGAGAGTCGGATCCCTCCCCTTTGCTGTTCAGAATGTAGTGGCCTGTTGCCTGGTTCTTAACGGCTAAAAAGGAGGTGGGGGGGGAGAGCCACGATTCGTCTTATTAACAAGCAGAGCCATTCCCTCCCCACACAAATCCAATACACATGAATGCATGAAGCTGCCTTGCACGGAATGGTTGATCACAAGCTAAACATGAGCCTGCAGAGCGATGTGACTGCGAAGAAAGCTAGTGCAGTCCTAGGATGCATTAACGGAAGCATTGTGTCCAGATCACGGGGGGTGGTAGTTCCACTCTATTCTGCTATGGTCAGGCCTCACCTGGAGTACGGTGTCCAGTTTTGGGCACCACATTTTAGGAAGGATGTCGACATGCTCGAGCATGTCCAGAAGAGGGCAACAAGGATGGTGAGAGGGTTGGAATCCAAGTCTTATGAGAAAAGGCTGAAAGAGTTGGGTATGTTTAGCCTGGGAAAGAGAAGGCTTAGAGGGGACATGACTGCAGTCTTCAAGTATTTGAAGGGCTGTCATGTAGAAGATGGAGCGGATCTATTCTCTCTTGCTCAGGATTGCAAGACTAGATCTAATGGGTGGAAATTACAAGGGAGTCGTTACCGGCTAAATATCAGGAGAAACTTCCTAACTCTAAGAGTGGAACAGACTGCCTCGGGAGGTGGTGGATGCTCCTTCACTGGACGTTTTCAAGCGGAGGCTGGATGACCATCTTTCGGGGATGTTGTAGGGCTGTCTTTCGGCTATGCTCCTGTGGAGTGCAGGGGGTCAGACTAGATGGGAACTAGAAGGTCCCTTCCAATTCGAACATTCTATGATTCTATGAATCACACCTTTTGGTCCATCAAAGTCAGAGTTGTCTACTCAGACTGGCAGTGGCTCTCCAAGGTCTCAGGCTAAGGTCTTCCACATCACCTCCTACCTGATCCTTTGAACTGGAGGTGCCAGGGATTGAACCTTTTCCCCAATAGCAATCTTTGAATATTTGGCAGGGTGGGACATAATGTTTGTTTCAAGAGTATATAAAGAGGAGGATAGGCCAGTGATTAATAACAAGCATCTATAGAAAGCATTTTCAAGCATTCAGATTTTGGGAACTATTACAACAAGCCTGCACGGTAGGCTCATATTATGTCCCCGTATTGTGGATGCAAGGGAAAGA